ATAGTACTTATTTCGCATGAACATTGAGCAAGCGAGTCGATGGCCGAGGAGCAGATACAACATTTATTGGTACTAAGACAATGAACAAGTCTTTTTAATTTCGCTATTTAAAGTGTGGCCAGTCTGAACGGGGATAAAACATCTGCACAGTACAGGAATAAAGTGCACAAACATGTCCGCAGGCACAGGTGCACTGTCTATTCCATTACTATCATAGTCTGATGCAACGACAATCCGAAAAAACCGGAAAGAGACCAGGCGGAGTACGAAAAGAACGATATGGTGGTGAAACACCGCCATCTTTCTTGGTCTGAGCTGCTGCGTAGAATTTATTATCCAATAAAATTGTTTTTGACCCGACCCTAGATGTCGATCCGAGACAACACGATGCAGTCAAGTCCAGTAGATTACAAAGGAACTAAAAATATGTTATTGATCCAGTTTATATTTTGTACGCATACTGATAAGTATTTAAAGACAACATGAACATTAACATAAATATTGCGCATTCTTTTCTCATATCTATATTTATGAAAGGCTTACCTTAAAATTAAAGATATTATTGCGGCGTCGAGTACATTTAACATTTTAATATAAATGCTGCATTCAAAGTCGGCACGCACACAATAAAGTAAGTTATATTGAAAATATTATAATTCATGAAAAGCTTACAATGTAAATAATTTTTAATGTAACATTGTGTGGTGGTTTGGAACGTAGAAGTGATGCATGAGTAAAGACTAGCAAAATGCTGCAGAAGTCTCAAGGGTCACTCACACCTACTAGCAAATTCGGCAAGGTATGTTCTAGAGGAAAGTATATGGAATAAATTGCCGGTTTATCGAAAGATGGACAAAATTAGGAGTATCCTTAAGCAACGAGCAAGTATGTATGGATGCGTAAGAAGTGGTGTGTCAGTATGAAAAGTCCATAGTCGCTGGTCAATTGTGTAAAAGGCGTGTATCAATTGGATAAAACATTATTTATGTAAATGTATGCATATATGTATGATAGAGCCATGCTGCAGTTATATTATATTTGTAGAATTAATAGCTTGGTTTAACTGGTTAAGTACCAGGCTCTCATAATTAATAGCGTAAAAATGCACCTTAATGAGCTGTGTTTCGTATGGTGACCAAATGTCTATATTACATCGGAGTCCTTTCCTACTTGAAATGAGGATCTCTATATTGATTCCCAGGGATGAAGGTGCACCTGCATTGTAATTCATAATCGAGTATAAATGTAGATGTCTATGGACTTCAATACCCACTTATCGTCAGGTGGCTTGTGTATGTGCTTGTTACCTTGTTCTACAAAAAATATAAAAGACATTTGCGAATAAATTAAAAAGTTTTTGTGTGTATTAATAAAATATTTGACATCTGTACACACATTTATAATTTAAATTATGTTTAAATCTTCGTCCACCCTGCAAGAAGTTTATTGTTGCGCAAATTCGCCTCCAAAGTTTTGTGAGATTTAACAACGTCGATTTTTATAAGTAAGGTGTATAAAATAAATTTGAATATTTGCTATAAAGTTCACAAATTATTGAATGTTTTAATAAAACCATGCATGCTACTATATTTGACATATTAGTTATATTTGTACCTCCTTCATTAGCATAATTTCCATGCTGCAAACAAGCCATTGGTGAACATTGGACTCCTTCGAGTTTATGTTAGTTGAGATTTAAAAACGCTGATGTCTGTTTAGGTACATATCAATTCGTCAATCATAATGCTACGAGATTCAAAACCTAAAATTTGCATATTTGTAATAATGTTGCCTCACACTTTGATTTGAACCTAGCATCTCTATCATAGCAGGGACATTTATGATTACATTTACCAGGCTTACTTACAACTCATTGCTGTATATGTAATATTATTATTAAGAGCCCGTTAAAGTCAAGTAACTTTAACCTCCTAAGACCCACACTTGAAATAAGAAGGTAGTCGTAAAAATCCACTGTAAAAAATATGCACAAATTAATTTATTGCTGTCAGACCCAGAGACATAAAACTTTATAAATTTGAAGCTAAGCCTATTAGGATTTCAGAGTATATTTACCGTAATATTAGGTCTCTAATGGACATTTTTGGTTAACCTACTTCGTTCTATCTTTCGTACAAAATATTTTCTGTTTTAATTTGTACAAATATTTTCTTTAGAAAATAAGAAATGATAATTATAAATTTTTAGATTTATTAATAAAATTATAGAAAAAAATATCAAAATAATATTTAATCATCTTTGGAAAAATTCAGACCATTCAGACCGTTAATAACAAAAATATTTTACTTATAACAAAAAAATATTATCTTAACATTAGTGAGACATTTTAGGAACTTTAATTAATACTTAGCTAAAATTAGTTATACTACTCATGAAATGCTTTGTAACAATTACGAGTCGTAGTTAGGCAAAGAGCTACCAGACATATACCAGACAGTATTGGCGGTAGTTATTTTCTTGCATCAATTTGTATAATTCAATGCATCCAGGCAATTGGCATCTGTTTGTTATGCCTTCAAAGACAAGCATGTGCAATGCTTCTTTTTGTCTACGAATCTTTGACGAAATAAAAACTATTGCTGGCCTCCCCATTTTTGAACTTCGGGCTCTGAATTATTTTCCTCTTCTTATACATTTTCACGTAAGTGCTTTCTTCAATAATGTTTTCCGCTAACTGCATATTCCATTGCCTCAAAGATTGTATTTTGAGTGGAATTTGTTGTTTAATTTGTCATTTCAGAATATAATCCAAGCGTTTGATGCCGATAAATCCAATATGTTGGTAATGAAGCTAGCGGTACATTTTTAAGCTATTGCATAGCTTCTATCGCGGGCCTTGAGCGTGGGGACCGAATCCAGAAATTTATTCCGCCGTAACGAAAAAACCTCACGCTTCCCACTCCGACGGGCACGGAGGTGTTGCTTGAAGGCCGTGCATTGTCTAACGTCGTTTCTTTTTTCGGCAGTCTTCGACACGGTGTTTGTGTATAAAGTGTTTTGAATATGAATGAACAAAGTGCATTTATTATTAATGAAGAAAGTCACGCAATAATAGTGAAAGAAAATGAGTGAGTACTCTATATACATACATTTTATTATTATCACAAATGCAGTACTAATTTTCAATTGAAAATATAATACTGCTATAAAGATAACCTAAATTTTTGATATTAAAATGAGCGATATTAAAAGTAACCCTCTTTATATACACACAAACACACACACGCGTATAGTTTAAATTCTCGATTTAGATTCTCAATATATATATATATATATATATATATATGTATATTAGAAATGGGCCGAAATTCGGTACAAGAAAAATAATACCTACTTGCATTTATTTTAACTGAAATATAAGGTGCTTCTAAACTACAATATGCCATGCCTGCAACTGGTGGTTCTACTCATGATACTGTACCACTTTCCCCGAGGAACCCATACTTTGTATGGAAATCGGTCAGCTGATTGGCCAAGTCTCCATACAAACAACCGTGGCATATATTTTAGAAGCACCTTATATAACAACATTAGATACTGTAAAATAAAAGATATTATTTTTACTCTTTCATGGTCAATTATTTATTTATTTATTTCGGAACATTGTAAATGTAAACCTTATATTAAATCAGTTCCTAATATCTTATTATTAATCTTAATCTTAGTTCTTAATCTTAATCTTAGTTAATTAGTTATTAATCTTAGAAATCTCTGCCTAATTAATAATTAGCCATATTACAAAAATGAAATAAACTTTGTATTCTCCTAGTAAACATCTGGATAGGAGTCCGTAAGTTAAATAAAAAAATAATGTTTTTGATTCAACATTCATTAACCTCAAGTATTTTTTATTACAATTAAAGGGTATTTGTTTTCAACAATCATATTAAACCAACTTTTCTTGTCTATCTAGTCATGTTTAAAATTTACCAGAGTCAGGTTATGGTGCAAAAACACCAAAGATCTGCCTTATCTGGCAGAAGTTTGTTACGTTTTTTTGGAAGGTATATGTTTCCTGCAGTGTGCGGGCGGGGTATTTGAAGTAAATGTGTAAACAAGTCACGACGCGTCGCTCTCGAGAAAGCGTGCGAAAAAGAACCGAAGTTCGGATTCGGTTCAAATCACATTCGGCTCATCTCTAATATATATATATATATATATATATATATATATATATATATATATATATATATATATCACAATATTGATTCTACGTCCTTTCATTTCGCATTATTGTAGCGTCCACCACTTGTAAGCAATTTTAATACATTATGACTGCGAATATTGGTCCATTAAACAATTTCAAAGATAGTGTTTAACTCATTTCTTTGAAAATTTACCATATATCGTCATACAAATATTCGTATATTGCCAGACGGAGGGAAACTAATCAGGACTCCCTTCCATATTACAAATTATCCAGAATCCCCGTAATATACATAGTTTTTAATTCATTCTCCTGCTTAAGGTGACACTAGTCGACATTATTTCCATAGAAATTTCGGAGGGGTTTTACTCCGCTGTTTGACAGTGTACATCAACAGTACATACAAGTGACAGTTAAACATGATATCGTTTTGTCTCATTATTAATTTTGTCTGTACGGAAACAGAATAGTAAAATAAAAAGTCATTAAAAAGTTACAAGCTATCAAAGATTCGTTTTTATTGCCAATTTTAACATAACTTTGGGCGTAAATTAGTAATAAAAGCAGTGTAAAATTTCCAAGACAAAGTCAGTACCGACATAGCTCAATTATCGAAGAATTCAATAAATTTTATTTGTAATTGATTTATGCAGTGGTTTTTTCATAAAACCCCTTCTTCCAAAGGCCTTTTCGTATTTTCTTACGCGCGCGTGTTTATATGAATTATCGTGCATCTCACTGAATAATGTTTCCCCCCGGTGCGTTGCGGGAGGACGACACTTACACACACATGCATGCGCGGTGTCGCGCGCTTATTCTAGTTTTATTCGACTCAGTCAGCTGCGGCCTGTGACGTTCGTATGACTATAGCTATACCTATAGGAGAATCATATGGTATTACCTCATTGTCATCTTCATCAACTGGGACTTCATCTTCACAGGAAGAACTTAAAGAACTGGATGATTCCTCTGGTTTATTATTAGGCCTGTACTTATCAAGAGTCACAATATCTTCAAAAGGTTCCTTTTCCAAGATTGACTTGCATTCTGATTCATTGAGACACTTACGAGTGTCATTTATGGTAAGATCTAAGTAAAAAAAAACACTCAATTATAAACAGAAACCGAAAGTTGGATACCAATGTACAAAAAATTGCACAAAGTAATTGATGACTTTATAAATCAGCTACATCCAATACTGTCACGAAAATTACTAATAGTGTGTACTATTTATACCTTTAAGTTTATAACAACATCAATAGTTACGTGGAAAAAGTAGTAATTAAACTAGTATTTTCAGATTAACCTTACTTTTAGGACGAGGCCGCGGCATGTTTCCTCGTTTGCCGCAGCTGGTTTTCGCAGTTCACCTTTTTTGTTGTTGACGGCATTGATAACATAGACAATATAGACTAATCAAGTAATTTATATCTATGCAACTAGTCACGGGACGATTTAAAAAAATTAGAAGAGCTTAAAAATAGTAACAAAAATTGTACAGTCGGCGCTCAGTACTTTAAACTTTATTAAAAAGCTGAGAATGATAAAAGTATTTTATTTTGTCTTTTTTTATGCGGGGTCTTAGGAGGTTAAGGTGAAGTGGGCGGCAAAAGCAGATTTTTCACGCTTTACGAAAGATTAATTATTATTACTTAGTGAGTTATGGTGGCCAAAACACGATTGTACATTTTGGCTTGATAGAAAAAAACGCAAAGTTTCCTCAAAATCTACAATTTTAGGTACGTCCACTAAATGAAAAAGCAGTTTTATTCGAATGCAATGAAATGAATTTCAATTAAATTCAGACTATGTGTTCACCAGTAAATACGTGAGTGAATTATGGGTTTATTTAAAAAAAAAGTATACATCATTTTAAAAAGAAATATCAAAAAATATTGTGCGATTATATAGCGCACAGGCTGACCAAACAGTCCCGCCAGTCGTCCGCAGGGCGTCGTAGAGAGCACTTGTGTACAACTATATCATGCCCGCTATCGTCGTATAAATGTAACAATATATTTAAAAAAATACTGATTACCGTGGTATGCCATTGAGAGGTAGTGAAAAATTAGGCATCCAAACTGGTTTGGATACCTTTCTTAGTCCTAGTATCCACTCAAACAGTGAGCTAGTAGCAAGTAACAAACATGTAGATATAGGTACTAAGTATGTTTATAATACAAATTGAGAAATAAACATTTGTTATAGGTATGAGTAAAGTGACCATTTATTTTTTCCTCAGAGCGGGACGCCTCTGAAATTATTATTGTTTTGACACTTTTGACTGCCTTCTTGGTCTAACGGCCGTAAACGCAATTGCTGATCATGTGGTCCCGTGTTCGAAATCCGAGTCGGGCCAATAATCATTTATTGGATTTTTCTGTCACAACAATTTCATCTCTTTCCTATTATAGTTTTAAAAATAAAAGACATAGTTGTTTGAATCGTTTAATAATCAAAAGTGAGAATGAGAACTTAGAATTATTTAAAATCTAGCTCTGGCTTTTTATTTATTTTTTTCTGAACAGCAAATAAATACTAATTAGAAATAACTTATGTTATTTGATAATTTATTTTAGATTAATTAAAAATTGTCACTTCGTAACTTTAAGTCCAAAAGTGTTGGTTTTCATCACGTAACTAGTCAGGCCATGCCGGTAAGCCTGGTACATGCGGTGTCATGATGGCACGGGTGTCAGAGTTTGCATGATGATGCTCCGGTTTTGTTTGTCAAAGCGGGATATTTTTACGTATTTTGGGGACAGCGGAACACAAACCTTTAAATCACGACCATCCCACCTAAAGTGGATCACGTGGGTAGGTATGAGGGAACTCGTATATAACAGATATACTTTGACGAAGTGACGGCTCCGTGGAGCACTAGCTTGGCAATAAGTGATGTTAGTTCTTGTGCAATTTATGTTTGTAAACTATCTCCACGACCGAGGAGAAAATCATGGTGTTAACATTATAAAAATACTGGTAAAAACACTTGAGTGTGGCTAGGATGCCTAGTTTATTTTTATGTTGAAAATTATTTCATCATTATTTTATTTGGACATGATCGTTCGAAGCACATATTATGATAAAAACTTATTATATATTTAAGATAAAAAAATATTTGTTGGAACTTATTAATTTACAACATAGTACAAACATAGTGTCCAAATAAAATAATCATGAAGTACTTTTCAACATGAAAATAAACCAGGTACATACCTCGTTAGGTATGTAGTTAATTTTCATGTTGAAAAGTAAGCATACGTCGACTCGTAAGTAAGCATCTATAGGCATAGGTACAATTCGTAGGTATTACGTTGTACCTGTCTATAATGTAATATAGGTATCGCCACACGAGAAGATTTTTTTGTGCACCCAATTATTATCTGAAATTATTTTAGCAATAAACGCTGGTTATATCAAACAATTACAATAAATTTGTATACTACGTACGTATTCAACTATTAGTGGGTTACGAAATAATTCTACACTTACGAAAATGTGATCTGCAGCTGCTCGCTAGGCTTGGGTAAAAATATCTATTAAATTATATATTTTAAATTGTTCTATTAATCTACAAAACATTAACCCCTCAGTCCCCTTAAAATTCTCAAGCAGTCACATGCGTCCGGCAAATCCTGGGCGGTCGCGTGCGATGGCACCGACCCGCAGCACTTAAAATCATTAAAACCTATATTTGGAGACTACTTTTCTATGAAAAAGTTTGGCATTATAAAATCTATACAAAATTCAAAATTCTATACTAAAGTCAGGTTTTAGTTCATTACAAAAAGACTATTGTATTTTGATAACAAAAACAAAACATACCAAGCGAATGTCAGCAGCGTGAAAATTACAATTATTTCGAAAATTTTATATAAAAAGATAAATTAATATACACACAAAAACTTTCATTACAATTTTATAATAAAACACTATACTAAAACACTAATAAAACGATAGAAAAACCCAAAAATCAACACAATAACATTCACGCGAAAATGGCGTATGAAATGAACGTAGATTATAAATAAATACCCATAGCATAACGATTTTTTATTGCACTTGAGGATAAAAAATTTAATATTGATTCTATAATGTCAAATTTCTTCATAGAAAAGTAGTCTCTAAATATAAGTATTAATGGTTTAAAGTGCTGTGGGTGTGCATGGTCGAATTCGACCGCTTGAATTTTGATGGAATAGCGCCACGGTCAAATTCGACTGCTTAGGGGTTGAAACAAAAGAATCTACAAACTACAAAAACATTCATGTGTCGTCGTTTTTTTTCCGTTATCTAACCGTCCAGTTATATGATTTTGAGCCCGATATTTTGAGTACGATAATACTACATCATTCAGATATATCGATGGCCCATCCGCGTCTGCTTCACCCTTAAAACCATGATACCATTTCGTCTTAATATATGGATGACTTACAGGGCAGATTATTAATTCCTGTACCAGACATTTTATAACTTTTATGAGTATTTTCGTCACCTACTTGGATATCTTATGCCTGGCGTTTTGAATTAATACACTAACACATGTACAAATCCATTAGATCTTTTGACACATCTCATAATCGCCTCTTACAAAACCCGGAGCACCGAGTAAGGAGGTACAAAAAAAATGAATGGTGGATTTTCTTTTGCCTTAACCACACGCGATATATAATATTATTTATTAATGAAAAAAGTTAAAGTTACAGCCTTCATACGTCCTACAGCTGGACACAGGCCTTCTTTCATATCTGAAAGGGTTTAAGGGCTATGAAGCGTCCGGTGCACTCCAATGCGTGTTGGCGGACTATTCCTAAGACATGCAGGTTTCATCACGATGTTTTCCTTTGTCTCCAAGTACGTGGTAAATCAGCACTTAAAATTACAATTAATAATTTCATTGGTGCCGGTGCGGATCGAATCCGGGTTGCTCCCGTACTGTGAAATTTATAGCGAGCATTGTTCCCCTGAGCTTCTACGGCTCTAATAATCACTATCTCACTGTTTTCATTTATTTTATTTGGCTGGGCCAAATATTACTACCTAGCTAGACCGGTGGCCTTTAATTGTTTTATCCATTTAATTAACTCATTCTAGGGCAGAAAAAGATGGACGTATTGAATCTTCAGTAAGTTTATACGATCCACTATGTAAAAACACCTGCTTAGAACTATCTATTTTCGTGCGTTCCTGATGACTTATAATTATTTCACTTTATTGACACGGAAAATATTTATTTACAGTTTGTGTAATTTAACCTGCTAAGTACTTTAACAGGCACAGAGTAAAATACCAAAAATTCGATTTTAAACTGTACTGGTAACATTCATATTTCAATATAGTTAAAAGCTTAACTGCAGCGTTCTAAAATCGTTTACTGTTCAGAGTTTTACGGAAGAATTTGTCAAGTTCCAAAGACTAATTGAACGAATTCCGCTAAGCTACGACAACTGGGGATTGCTTGGAACTTATCAGACTTAGCTAATTAAAATTGTCACGTCCGTAAGTTGTATTTCGGTAAAATTTTATATAGATCAAAATTCTTTTATATTTGATTTTTCTTAAAATTTTTGAAAATTGTGATTTTACTTATTTTTTTAAAATTGTGAATACTTACTTTTTAAAATTGTGATTTAACTTAGAAATTTATAGAAATGAGAGAGAATCACTTTTTTATATTCTTGTTTGTTACTTTATCTTATCGAAGTGCTACGTATCTGCTAGATTAATTATGTAAAAAAAAATTAAAATAATCATTTAACATATTGCAATTGTGGCAATGGACTTGTACTGTTGTACTTTTGCCCGTGCCAAGTAAAAAGAAATTATCCTTAATAATATTTTGTTAAAAAAATCTTCACAGCATAGGGTTGCGTCACAATGCCGAAGTCTTTGGGAGAAAATAACCAGAATTTGAGCAGACAGTCAATTAAGATAATATCTCAACGCGCCTAAGCAAATACATTATATTGAGGTTTACATGAACATCGGAGTACTTTTTTATATCTTCGACTAATAATATTTAACATGCGTAGACATTTAATACACATAATCGTACCACTTTTACGTATCAAAGATCCGTTACTTAT